TGCATAAAACCGAACCTGAACAAGCTCGGGGGCTTTCTGTGAGTGTTGCTAGTCCGGTTCCATAGTAACTCGGCTGGACGGGCTGCGGCGTTCCAGGGAGGGATTTGGTCTTTGGGCATGTTTTACGGGCAAACCTGGACATGCCAAAGGAGTGGCCAGCAAAAGGGGTTAGTGACGCTTCTGATGAAGAACAATGTTTCCAACCACACGGGCTGAAACACTCCCTGGCACCGGGGGGTGGGGGTGGGGGGGTTACTTTTTAACTCCAGCTGCAGATGCTTCCACGTCAGGAAACGCCGGAGCGGCCTGTGTGCAGATTCAACAGGAAATGGTGTGTCACCAGTGTAAAAACTTTGCTTGTTTTCTGTTTTGTTTGGTGGACCTCCAGCTCCATGTGCCCAATAATGCAGCTCCGTGTGAGAGGGAGACTGTAACTGACACCTCAGTTTGGTAATTATGAAGTCTAAATGTCTGAATGGATCCCTGGCAACCTCAGAGGGACGGCCTGGGTCCTGTTTCATGCAGCTCATCCCAGCAGCCATCTTCTCTGCTCTGACTCCTGCTTCTTGAACGGCAGCCGTGTGTCCCCAGATGAAATATTCAAGCTTGCCGTAATCCGAGCGCTGGTGCAGTTCGCCTGCATTCTGACTGAACTGGATCGTGGAGGAAACCTGAGAGGGACCGCCACGCGTTTGCCGTAACTGAGCCGGCAGCATTTTCGGTCCTTCAGGCGGATGCTTTTCATGCTCTGAAGGGATGAAAACACTTGGGTTTACCAGCACATGTCCTGCTGGAAGTTACAAGTTCTCTGAGCTGTTCTGCATTGTTTGGTTACATCTGCTTAGTTTTTAGTCCCCCCCCCCAAAAAAAACAAAAAAAACATTTTCATTCATTGATTATTCAGAATTAAGTGTAGGTGTCAACATGCATATTTGTAATGGACTTGTGACCTGTCATCCCAAAAGTAAAAGGATATATGACTTAATTAATAGTTTACTAGTTTATATAATGAATGCACATGTTGAGGCTTCTATTGACCACAATGAGATGGACATTCAATTAAAGTTCTTATTCAGTCTTTTATCCTTTCTTCTGATGCTTGACTCTAAAACCTTTGTTTAGCCTTATTCCATCAGAAAACCAGCACACGTTGAGTAGGTTTCTTCATCTTCCTTTAGTTAAGATATGCCAAGAAAATGATGCAAATACAGTGTTGGAGTTGCCAGTTTCATGATGTCAAATTTTAATAATAGCAGTGAAGTGCACATTCATTTTTATTGTATATAAGTAACACAATTAAACCATGTGTGCTGATACAATGTGTGTCTTCATGTGAAAAGTCGGCTACAATGTTCGTTAGGTATAAAATTGTGTCAATTTTCTTTATGATTTTCTTATACTGTGCATTCTAAAAGCACTGTCCTTGTTAGGGCCGGTAAGATGTCTCTTTTACGCAGTTAATCTTTCACTGGGGTTTATCTTAACTTGTTAGAAAACCTATAACTTTGCAAACCTTGTTTTTCGCGTGGTGTAAGTTCTTTTGTTGAGGCTTCACTCATCAGATCAGCGGGGATCAGATGGAAACAAATCTAATACGCATTCCCTCGAGCACTTACAATTTCGGTTAATCCTTTCTTTAAAACACGAACCAACCCATTCAGGTGAAAGATGAATGAGGGACATGGCGAAATCTTTTGACTCGGGCCTTTTGAATCTCCCCTCGTGGCTGGCGTTTCCCGCAAAGCGACACTCCCTGATCAGGAATGACACCGTGCTTCTGCTCACACTGTAAATCTCCGTGACGACTTAATAACACCTTTATGCATGCCTCCTGCAGCCTGCGGAGGAAAACTCTCAAACATCTCTAGCTCACCACATTCGAAAGTAAAACTCTTTTTTTCTGACACTGGTCTCCCGTATAGACATCTGCGTTTCAAAAACAAATCGCTGATCATTTTTTGTTTGTCTTTCCACGAGGGCCGGGCTGCTTTCTTTTTGGCGTGTTTATTTGCGCACTGGACAGATAGTGTGCCACCCTGCGTCCCCCCGGGGGCCAGAGGGCTGCTCTCTGCCCACCTGCAGCACACGGTCGCATCATTCTCTGAGTAGGGCATGTCCACCACCTCCTCTTATCCACGCACACGCCTCCCACTCTCTTTCCCCGCGCGCTCAGATGGAAACTCCGGCATTCTGGTGAACTTTCCCTGAGTGACAGGCGCCCCTCTGACGGCCGAAGGGCCAGATCAAGTCGTGGGATTGTTATTTTTTTTATCCAAAAGGCTACAACAATAGGGATCATCTAGCAATACTGGATCATGAGTGTTTTAAATGGTTCTAATTTTTCTCCACGACTTTCTGGAATCCTGCGCGATGGAGCGTGACGCGGCACGCGGCGATGGGAGCTTCCTCGCGCTCTGAGGACCGAGGTTTGCGCCTTAAAACTTTTCCGATTCCAATTGTCCAGTTCATTTGTCGTTGTTTCTGTCTTCTCTGTGCGGTTTTATCGCGGCTGACAATTTTTTTGCCGTTTTACTGTAGAACAGAAACTATGTAAACCAGCGGCAACGTCGTATAGATCAGGATTTTTAGAATACTGGTCACTTATAAAGACCAACATCATTAAAAAAAGACACTAGAAAAAAACTACAAGGCCTTTTTGATTAGCTTATTTCTACAGATGTGTTCCTCTGGATGAGACTTTCACAGAGTTCGTTTTTTCCCTCTTCAAACTGTCTAACGGCTTCAGGTAGCACTTTTAAAAAACGATTATATTATTTTTTATTTGGGGCAAATTAATTATGGAATTAACCACCCTGCAAAACCCCCCTTTTGCCCAGAAATAGCGTGCGACATTTCCCTGCCAGTAATTGCATTCTAACTCAGATTAAAGAATAAACCTGTAAACGGATTATTACTGAAAGAATGTTTCTATATCTGCCCCTGAACCAGGCTTTATGCATCTGGCAGTTGCCGGTCTAATCTGCAAAACCTGCTGATTGACAGGACAATGAATGACTTAACTTTATTTTTAATAACTCCTAAAACCAATTGCCTTTTGTGCGCTTGAGTGTGTGCGTTTCTTTTTGGGCCTTGTAGCCTGCTGGGAATGATGGAAATGTCATTCAATTGTATTAAATGATAAAAGGAGAAATGTTGATAAGAGAGAGCAATGAACAAGTGAAAGCAACGCCACGAGGTCAGGCCCATCCCTCATTCACAGGCCGCACAGGTAATATTTGTGGTTTAGCCTTCCTGACTTCAGAAGACACTCCTCATGACTATCCTGAACTGTCAAAACATGTCCATAGGACCTTATGCAGCTTGAAGTAGCGAGGTGTTCTTGTTATTTTTTGCTCACAAGGAAATCTGTGTGATCACACACACACACACACACACACACACACACACACACACACACACACACACACACACACACACACGCAGCTGGACGATGGAAGACCTTTGCTGACCCTTGCATTGTCGTGGGCTCTCTTCCATATTAAAACCTATGGAGGCAGGGGGGTTGAAAAACGGGAGGAAATGCCTTTCTCTGCCGGCCTTTCCTGCGGGAAGAAGCTTAACTGTGATCTAAACTCGGAAAGTGACGATAGGACGTGAACAGGAACTTTCCCAGATATGTTGCCTACAGAGCTTCTCTGTAACCCACAATAAATCCGTAGAAGTGCAACATAAGGACGATTTTCTTCATTAATACGTGAGCCTTGTAATTTAAAAAATATCTCCATGTTGCATTGGATGGATCTCCCATTCCCTCGTGTGTTTTTCTTTCTGAGCTGATGAACTCAGGACCTTTGGCGTTGTCCTTATCACACAGACAGAGATGAGGCACGACAGCTTAGAATGCTCTGTGCACGTAAACACTCACCTCCATGCCAATTTGTATCACTGCAGTCAGTCCCGTGGTCTGGGTAGGCTGTGTGTGAGTCACGGTGATCACACTCACAGTCTGGCTCTAGCGCCCAGTATCAGGTGTGCCTCAGAGCCGAGGATCCAGCGTGTCAGTGCAGCTTGGCTCAGCCTCGTAAAAATGCCTGCGGCACGGGTGACAAACAGCCGGAGCAGGTAAACTTTACATCTTCAGTCTCAGACACCCAAATAAGCGCTGATTACAGATTACGTGGCTGTTGGTAGAATCTCTGAATGGAAGCCGCTGTGTGTCACCTCTGCAGAGCCCTCTGATTTGACTTTGTTGCGTACAGATGTGCGTTCATCCAGTCAGGAAAAGGTCCTGCTTTCTGTATTTGGAGTTCTGAGGCTGCGATTTAACACTTTTTTGGAACATTTTTATTCCTTAGATTTCTTGGACTTGTTTATTTCCTTTCCTGATGTTATGAGTCATCAGTGACCTGTAGAATCACCCTCATGTCCACCACACTCCTTGTGGTGTCACTCAGAGCACCACACTGTGGTGAACAGAGGGTTTACAACTGGTAAGTGAATGGGAAATGGGACTTCAGTTTGCATCCTTTGTACTGCATTTTTGTTTTGGTGTTTGTTTTTGGAGACTTATTTTCTAATGTATCTTTTTATGTAAATGTATTCAGGTCACGGTTGTATAATGAACAATGGCTTTACTAGCAGACTGTCAACATTTTTAAGGACTTTTTAAAATTCATATTGAAAATATATGAATAATTTAAATATCTTTTTTTAGAGGTGGCAAAATATCAGATAAAACCCATGAATTAAGTTTTTTTTTTATTGTATTCTTTGTTGAGAATCCCTTACAAGCAGTGGCTACCTGAACTCTAGAGTCTACGGACAAATGTTGCATTTCCTCTTGTGTGATGAAGTTTCAAAAGCTGTCTTTTAAGGAAAAAAAGTATTTGAAAATAATTAAAAGTTCAAGGGGAAATTAACCTGGAAGGGATTTGCATCAGGACTGTTTGCCTGTTTAGTGCTTTAGTCCTTTATCTTCGAAAACCGCCACGCTGCTTTCACTGGCTGCCGGCGTTCATGGGGAATACTTTCCTGAACTTCCTCCAGGTGTTTCAGCCTTCTGTCATCATCGGTAACTGCTGCTGATCCAGTGCCAGTGAAAGTAAAGTGTATGTAACAATTCCCTGGCAGTGCCGCTACATGTTTTACACAAAGTGCTGTAAAAGTAATAACGCGAGCAGTGGCAAACCTCCACAGTTTCCAAAGGAAGTTTTCCCTTCATTAGTCTGGCTCTTTTATGTAGTTTTTGCACAGGTCAAATCAGACATTTCTATTGATGAGACTTACCGGTGCTTTGCACCTTGTGTTGAACCCTCTGCATTACCTGTCTGAGGTTTGTGATGATGGTAGACGTGGGTAATGAGGAGAGTTTTCTTTACATGGCAGCAAGGCTTCTTAGTGGCGATCCAGACGTGCAACTGTTGTTCTAGAACTCTCCAAATATGATCAAGTACAGCTATTTTCGGATGGATTTGCCGTTTTTTATTTGTTTATTTCATTTAACATTCTCTGTACGAACTGTTGCCTTGGAATTTTTTTGTGTAGGGATAAAAGATGAAAAACTAAAACTTAAAAAATTCATCATGAAAAAGAGCGTGCTTCATTTACAAATGTGATCATACTTTTCTTTTTGATGCTCCACAGGATGTGCATGTAGCGGTGGACGGACTGGGGCCAGTCATGGAGTCTGAGGCAAACTGCAGCTCCCACTGTGATCCCCCACTTTGCTTCATCCAGTCTGGGTTCAGCAGGCAGGAGGGAACTGACATTCTGCAGAAGTTATGCAGACTCAACACGGTAATCTCCCCCTCCAGATCGCACATTCCTGTTTTCATTCACTAATCAATAACACAAACATGAATCAAATGTTTACTATATTTGTAGTTAACAGATGCCGTAGACAGTTGTGCTTTTGTTCAAATAGCAGGGTACATGAATAGCTTTGACACTTCAGGGCGGGGCTCACATCCTGTATTTCTTTTCCAGTATGTGACCTCCATCGTAAGAAAAAGGCCTCCACCTCTTACACTGTTCCCATGTCCTCTGAACATTTATTTGGGAAGCTGTAACGTAGACGTTCTCATCTTTAGCTTGCTGTTCGGGTTTATGGTTTCACATTTGAACGCTTTGGTTGCAAATAGTGACACGCAGGGAACTTTTCTCCACTTGCACCCTGAAGGATGAGAGTGTGTGATGCTCACAGCCTGAGCTTGTGTTGTGGACAGTCAACAAACTGTGTCCGGCTCTGATCAGAACAGTGTTGTTTTCTAAACGGATTTTCATTATTTCTGGTTGTTACATTTTATTTTTAGGACCTGACCACATTTTTGGTCAGGTTTAGGCGTTGTGTTCCAGATGGATTATCCATATTCGATGTTTCTATAACAATATGTCCTTAAGGGACTGCTCTTCATGCTCACGCGCTAACAACACCGGAGGGGTTACCCGAAATGCTGAAAACGGACACCAGCTGACCGGTGTCAGTGTGTGACCAGTGGGGAGTGAGTGTCTAGGTTAAACCAGTCTACTAGAAGAATCTAAGCTTTTAGAACAGAAAATGTACCAGAACATAACTCCCTAACGTAGCTTTTTCATTATAAAAGCTGTGCACACACATTACCATCAACATGTGTTAAAATGAAACGCGAACCCTCAGGGTTGGACATGTCCCTTCATTTTTACGGTTCAACTGTTCCAATATCAATGGTATACAGTCGTGACAGAGGACAGCTATACACAGCTATATATATTTATATATATGTATATAGCTGTCCTCTGTGTGTGTGTTTAGATTGCATGTGAAAAAGACAGCATATATTATGTCATGCATGTTCGTCAGCGTTGTGCTGTTAGTAGTCCATAAATAATTCAACAAACTGATGACGTGACTGACACAAAACATTTTAGTCGGTGGAGATGAACATGATTCTTAAGGGGTCAGCTCCAGTTCATAACATTCATTATACAAAACAGAGAACGTACACAAGCCAATTCAGAATATAGACCATTGTTGTATCTTGTTTTTAACTGTTGTTTTCGTAACTTTGTTTGAATCTGTACCTCTTCACATTCTTAGTGTCTGTGGCTGCCATTTGCCCATGCTTTGTGCCGCACGTAGCTCTACCACCTAAAAATTGCACCGATGCTTGCTTGCAAGAAATGTGGTACTGTTTCATTTGAGAGGACAGCTGAATACAAGAGATCGGGAAAGGCAATGGGGATGGACTCCTGAAGCTATGTTTAGCTGTGCCCCTGCGGCCGATGCCTTTAAGAGAAAAGCAAGCAGAGATCAACCCCGTGAGGTGGGCAAGAGGAAGTATAATGTGACCTCTCAAATAAAAGCTTGAGCAGAGGAGACAGTGTAGAGGAAAACAAGGTCGACTCTCTGTCTGCAATAACACAAAGAATGAAGGTAAGCTGTGGTTTGGTTTTTGTCGTGTTTGTGATATAGATTTTACGCATCAGTTGTCCTCACAGTGTGAAGCTTTCACTCAAAGGGAAGCTGTTCTACGCACTTTGCTGTTAGAAGCGGATAGTTCATTGATTGTTCCACTTGTTCTCTTCTTTAACAGCCTTTATTTTTCTGTTGTTGGGCTATGCTGAATTGAAAAGACGTGCTGCTAAAATGAATGATCCTGTAATGAAATGCGACACCGTGCATTTGTTGCTATTTGTGGATACGGACAGCTTACCAGACATATGCGTTTTTAAGCCTGATAGTAAAGTGGAAAGGCAAAAATACAAGAAGCTGTGCCAACTTGTTCCTTTAAATCCCACCTGTTTTTTTTTTTCCTTTCTGGCTGTGTTCCCAGAAATGGCCACTGCTGCTGGCATTCTGTCCAAGGAGCAGCTTCTTTGCCCCATCTGTCTGGATGTTTTCAACCAGCCCGTCTCCACTCCATGTGGGCACAACTTCTGCCGGGGATGTATACAGAGATACTGGCAAATTGCTAATCTGCCGCAGTGCCCTGTCTGTAAGCACAGGTTCTTTAAGAGACCCGACCTCAAGGTTAACACCTTTATATCAGAGGTGGCCTCTCAGTTCATGGAGATTGGGGAAAAGCAACTCCAAGCGGAAACCAGCAGTGCGTGCCAGCCTTCAGGCCATAGAGGAGACATCTCATGTGATGTTTGCGTTGGAAAAAAAGTGAAAGCTTTGAAATCCTGCCTGGATTGTTTGGCCTCATTCTGCGAGACTCACCTGGAGCCTCATCACGTCGTAGGAGCCCTCAAGAAGCACAGGCTGATAAACCCCATGCTGAACATGCAGGAGAGAATCTGCAAGAAGCACGAGAGCCTGCTGGACCTGTTCTGTCTCACCGATCAGATGTACGTCTGCCAGGTCTGCATGAAGAGCGACCACAAGGATCATCTCACCGCTCACATAGAGGATAAAAGCAGAGACGTCAGAGTTCAGATCGGAAGGATCAGTGTCGAGGTGCAAAAACTGACACAGCAAAGGCTGCAGAAAATCAGCGAGCTCAGTCAAGCTGTTCAGCTCAGCGAGAGAAAGAGCGAAGGAGAGGTAGAGGAGAGCCTGCATGTCTTCAACAAACTGCTTCAGTTGGTCCAGCGGGGTCAAACCGAAGTGACTTCTGCGATAAAAGCTAAGCAGAGGCAAGTAGAAATCACGGCCGGCGGGATTAAAATGCAGCTGGAGCAGGAGGTCAGTCAGCTGACGTGCAGAAGCTCTGAACTGGAGCTGCTCAAACACACCGAGGACGATCTCTACCTCCTGAAGAACCACCAAGCTTTGTGCACAATGCCGGCCATCAGAGAGTGGCCCGACACCCTGGTCCAAAGCGCTGAATATGTGGGCCCGGTGAGGAGGGCGGTCCGAAGAGCGGCGTCTCAGGTGGAGGAGACTGTGAAAACGGAAGTGAGGAGGCTTTGCGAGGCCGAATTTAAGCGCGCTCGAAGGTACGCCGTGGACGTGACCCTGGACCCCGACACGGCCCATCCCAAACTGGCGCTGTCCGCAGACAGGAGACAGGTCCATCACCGCGATGTGGCGCTGAGCCTCCCCGACAACCCGGAGAGATTTTACCCCTGCGTTAGTGTTTTGGGGAAGGAGGGTTTCTCCTCCGGCAGGTTCTACTTTGAGGTCCAGGTGAAAGGGAAAACAGAGTGGGACATTGGAGTCGGGCTTGAGTCGGTCAACAGAAAAGGAGGGAATTTGCTGAGTCCTGAAAGAGGCTTCTGGACCCTGGCGCTGAGAGAGGACGGGAGATACTGGGCACTCAGCAGCCCCCCCGTCTGTGTGCCGCTGGTGGAGAAACCCCAGAGAGTGGGAGTATATGTGGATGTGGGGTGGGGGCAGGTTTCCTTTTACAACGCAGACTCACATTCTCACATCTACACATTCACAGAGTACACATTCAGCGAAAGGCTTTTCCCCTACTTCAACCCTCGAAGAAATCATGGAGGGGTCAACTCGGCCCCTCTCGTCATCTTACCTGGGAATGTCTAAACCTTCTTGTGATTTTTACCTAACAGTTTTCCATTTTCAGTTACATGTGTGATGTTTGCTTTTTTGTTTCTTCTAATAAAATTTCCCTCTGAGATGAACTTGTGCCTCTTGGTATTGTTTTAGTGTCTTTCAAAAAGTAAGAAAAAAACTAAACAAAAGTGCACACATGTGAGAAAGATTTAAATGTGATTTTTGGGAGAACGTTCACGTTATTTTGTGTGTGTTTGTATGTGTGTGTGCAGTTGGCAGTGGAGCTCCCCAAGCATTCCCTCTCCCCAGTGCTAAGTGTTGTGGTGTGGACTCTGCTGTCCTGCGGCATCCTGCTGGCCTTCTGCTTTCTTTTCTTCACCCTGCGCTTCAAAAACAACAGGTAGAGTGCCAACGTTAAGATCCTATGAACACACAAAGGTGGCTGCAGATCGTTTAACTGAATTTTCTCATGCTCTCAGGATAGTGAAGATGTCCAGCCCCAACCTGAACGTTCTTACTCTCCTCGGAAGTGTCCTCGCTTACATCAGCGGCTTCCTGTTTGCCTTCAGTGACAGAGCTCTCTCCCAGGGGGGAGCCTCCACAGCCGTGCTGCAGGTGAGCAACCGCCCTAGCTCCAGTGCTTCTCTCCTGTGTTGGAGTTGTTGGAGTTGTTGTTATAACCTGGCGCCGTCTCTCCTGAAGGCTCGTATGTGGACGCTTTGCCTGGGAAGTACCCTGGTGTTTGGTCCAATATTGGCAAAGACGTGGAGGCTTTACCGAGTGTTCACCCAGCGAGTGCCCGACAAGAGAGTGGTAGGAAGAAATCCTCTCCCGGCTCCCAAATGGTTACTAGTTCAGCTGATTGCAGGATCGATCCAGTTGATCATTGTTATTCGGTCACTGTGCTGTTCATTAAAGTTCTAAAGCAAAGTATTCCGTAAACGTACGGAAAAGTTGGTAATGTTTTATACCAGCTGTTGTCTTGTGAAAAAAAGGAGCAATTAGCTGAGGGCACGCAAAAACCTGTAACAGTCTATTCATTAATGTTTGTCACTTCAATCAAAAGACGTATGATTTAACCATAAGCCTCTGCCTCTGGATGAAAGGAGCTTATTGATGAAAGGAGTCATAAAGTGATCTCTCTTTGGGTCTCAGATCATCCGGGACATCCAGCTGATTGGGATGGTGGCTCTGCTGGTGCTGGCGGACATACTGGTTCTCACAGCCTGGAACCTGGCAGACCCTGTCAAGTGTTCGCGATCGGTGGGAGCTGTTGTCCAGGTACAGTTAGCGACAGTAAAACACAATGCCGCGCGGACTAGGACAGGAGTAAGGCTTGTACTTACTCAGAGCAGTCAGGTCCTCTAAATGCCTTTTTGCTGACAAATAATTCTGTTTGCATGAAACTGCAAGGAAGCACGATTGTTATGACTGAAAATGACTCTTTCTAAAACCCTTTTTTTGCTTTTCCATTATTGCAGTTGATGGAGAGAGACACGTCTTTCTCATTGTCGCAGAAGGACTCTTGTTCTTCTGTGTACTCAAATATGTGGATTATCGTCATTGCTGTCCAAAAAGTAAGTTCTCTACTGAGCTCTTTGTAGAGCTAGAATATAAATCGCTGCTGTCAGATTTCAGTTTTTTTGTAATGTACTTCAAATATACTTTGCTCCTTAACAAACCAGACAATCAGTCATTTTGAAATTCAACTACCTGCTGTGAAAAATCTTAATTATATGAATGAAATTATACTTGCAGTGAATACTTGCAGTGAACCTTACAGTGAATGCAGTGAAAACATTTGCAAAATAATATCTAAACAAAAGAGACTACGTTTTTTTGTTGGGTCATCGTTGACTGTTTAATTATTTTAGACTACTTTATGTTAAGGGTATTTGATGTTTTCAATTTACATTTGCAAGCTGCTTTGTTATATAGTGTATTTAGCAGTAGAAGTTATCTCGACGTCCCATTTTGCAGATTTAAATTGGCTAAATGTTTCCCATATCCTCTCTTTAGGGTTGCCTTCTTCTTTATGGCACTTATCTGGCCGGACTGACCAGCAGCGTCAGCCATCCCCCCGTTAACCAGTCTCCCACCATCCTAACAGCTGTCTCTCTGGTCACCTTTTCCTCTGTTGTGGCGGTCCCGGTGTCCATCTTTCTGCAGTCCTGGCCCAACCTGGTCTACGGCATTGTGGCTGGAGCCATATTTATCTGCACGCTGGCCACTGACTGTGTGCTGTTCGTACCTCAGGTGAGACAAAATACCAACGGATATGGGAAATCATCTGCTAAATCCCGTTTTAGAGGGAGTCGCTTGCTTGGAAGTGTGCCTGCAATCCTCTCATCACACCTCTGGTGTCTGCTCTCTCCTGATGACATCTGAAGTATTTGTTGTGGTAGAAATTTAAACAAAAGGAACCTTTTTGTGATAGCTTTCGCAGAATGAATCAGATGAGTCATAAACTGGGGAGAGACCCATGACAGACAGGTGGATGACGACTACAGGCATGGATTTCTTCTTCTGTTAGGTTGAGACTAATAAATCCTCCGAGGGCCTGTTGTCCTGACAGCTGAACTTTCCGTACGTGTGTCAGTTTTCCGTGTCTGTCAGTAGAGCATGACTCACACAGAGAGCTCCTGTGAGTCAAAGCTCTTTAAAGTGCTGCAAACAGGTTTATGACTCTCTCAAGAGTCTGACAGAGAGTTTATGTTACAGTACAGGAATGCATCACCACTGAGGAAGAAGGAAATATTCTAACAATGAGCAGTGCGTTCCAAGACACCTGCTTGGATTTCAGACTATTGGTGCTGGCATTTTCTGTGGCTGGAGGTCAGCTTACTCTAATCATCAAACTTTCCACCGTGCAGCTGACCCAGTGGCGGCAGTTCGAGGAGGATCAGAACAACCCGAGTCAGATGGCCAAGTATTTCAGCAGCCCCAGCAAGAGCCAGCCGTCTGTGTACAGCCAGGACGAGATCTACTACCTGCTGGGGGAGAACAGCTCCATGAAGAAACTCCTGAGTGAGGTAATGTATTCTTTTATTCGCTCTTTTTTTGTTAGTCTATAACTGAATTAGAAGATAAGAATTTACTGACTGTTTTGGTTTCCATTAGCCATTTGCATGTAATAACTGCACTTAAGTTGCTTGTGTAAAAGTGGGAGAGCTATGGTAAGTGTTAGAGGAGATTGATTATGTATTTTTTTAGAAGAAAATGATGATGGCATGACTTCGACCGACTGCCCCACACACTTATAATAATGCACTTGTGGTGCATTATTAGACTATATAAGGGAAATCACTTTAAGCGTGATGATGTCACTCAGTGTTTCATCATAATTTTTTCCATGGAGCAAATTTCACCAAATATGGAGAAGACAATAGAGCAACAGAGTCAGACTTGAAGCTGTAAAGACCTGGCTATATAATAATAGGGAATTTAGCAAATGACATCATAAGGATTTCATGACTAAATTAGTTGAATTTGTTGGATATGGCATACCTCAGGCATAATACAATGTTATGCATTTCTGCATTTGCAAATAACATGTTACAAACGTTACACTAATCTGGTTAAAGAGGGATAACCCCCAGGATATCCTGTTAGGTCACAGGGATGTTTCAGTTGAAATAACAAAACTGCAAACTTTCAAATGTGCTGTGCTTTATGAAGGTTTTAGGGGAAACTAAATTAATTTGTTTGGGAACTAGCTGTTTAACAGTGGTTAGTATTTGCAGAACAACCAGTATAATTAATTTCAAATTAGTTCGTTAAGATTGGATCAAAGTCTTGATTTTCAGCTTGGATTTTCTTTCTTTTGAAGACGGGTTAAACTTTAAACATAACTGTAATATTATTTATCACCAGCAACAGTTGCTGGGCAGCTTTGGGTAAAGCAGCCTTTATACAAATAACCTATTCTGGTGTGAGGATGTGTGGATTAGGTTTTGAGAAAAATAAGTACAGCCGTTTATTCAGCTTTTAGAAATGGTCTGTTTATCTACAAATGTTTATGCTTCTATTTATTCTGAAATTTCCAGAAGAATGCTGTGATTGACAGCCTTCAGGAGCAGGTAACCAATGCCAAGGACAAACTTCTGAGACTCATGACCGCAAGCCAGCCCCTGGAGGATCAGGATGTGGGCTCATCTGCCACAAACCTCAACACTTCCTCCTCTCAGACCACTGAGCTTCAGTCTGAGGGCCCCTCTTCCTCCTCTCTGACTCAGAAAGACATCAAATTCAGTCCCTCATCCCCTCTTCGCTCTCATAGCCTCACCCCTGTGTCTCTTTCATCAAATGCCATTGCACATTCCTCTGAGCCTTCCTCCGTTCCAAACTCTTTGGCTGCCCATCCCATCTGTGAGGATATTTATGTGAATGAAACCCAGAGATCTGTTCCTAAGACTGGCCCCACAGGCACCGACGCTACCGATCCCAGAGTAGCGGAGGGTGTCAATCAGCCTGAGCCCTTTAAATTTCCGGGGAGGACAGCAGAGGAGACGGTTCGCTTTGTCACCTCTCTACAAGCCCAGAAAGGAGTAAAGCCCCCTCAGGTTGAAATCTTTGACAGCCACAGTGTCAGAATGTTTCAAATGGGACCCAATTCCAGACCAGCTGGCTTTGTGAGCAGTGAACAGTTGCAGGAGATCCTCCAGGAGCTGAGTGTGGATGCCGTCACCGAGACGGCGCTCCGGTCACCCGGTCAGACGTCCAGGACACCCTCTCTGCTTAAACTGAGCACGCTGTCCCCTCTGTCCCTGCAGTCCTCCTGCTCCCCTCACCCTCCAGTGCTCTTTCGCTACCCCAGCATCTCCCCCTACACCATGAGGAAACGACGGCCCCCCTTTCACTCCAGCAGGAGGGCCTTGGCCCCTCCCTGCTTCTACTCAGGATCCGGTGCTTCTAAATGCAGGAAGACAAGAGGCAGCCGTAAGCAACAAAATCCAGAGACCATCTCTGTGGATGAGATTCCATCCCATGAACCCAACAACGGCAGCGAGGCAGAGAATGAGGAGGAGCAGGAGGAAGATGCAGACGGGCAGGAGATAGAGAGAAAATGTCAGAGATGTATTTCAAGGTCCCACAAAAGCCCAGCTCCACATGACATGGAGGAGGGAGGTGAGAGCGAGCAGCACCATCAACACGTTAGAGACTCCAGCGGTTACTGGGACTCGGACTCTAGCAGCTCTGCAGATTATTGCTACTACCACCGCCCTTACTGTGACTCCTGCCTGCAGCGAGGCTCACTCCTGTGCTCGGACAGCTCCTCGGACTCCTCCGACAGCGAATATGACGGCTTCACGGGCCTCTACCGGGCCTCGCGCCCCGTGGTGTTCAAAGACGACCTCAAACCCACATTTGTATGAACACATGCACTTTAATGTTTTAGCCCATTTTGAACCTCGCCTAGAACGCACAGAGATCGTTGTTTCTGAGGCTGAAATGCCTTCATAATGAGAGTTTATTTGACTGCTTTCCTCCTTCTAAATGAAGATAATGATTTTGTTTTTGAATCTTGCATTATGGGAGAGAGAGAGCTCTTCTTTCTTTTAATAAAAACTGTAGAAGAGTGAAAACTTTTAGCTGAAGGGCTCAAAATGCTCAGTAAATTTGTGAGATCACTCATGGCATTATTTGTGAATTACCATTAGATGACAGATTCTTTACTTTTCTCAAAGGGTTTTAATTTATCAACTTGAATTTATTTCCATGTAATGACTGTCAACGCAAAAGCAACTGGAAGAAATTTGGAAAGGAAATCTCTTTAAGCTATTGTGCAGAAATTGTATTTATTTTGATATTTATTTTTATTTCTTGATATTTTAGTGTAAAATATATTTTTTGTTCCTTTCGGCTGTTTTGCATTAAACAACTTACATCCAATTTACTGATGGCATGAGCAGTTTCTTATACTGACTAAATAGATCTCTCCGCTGCCCTGAAGTACAGCAAGGATTTTTGTTTGGTTTATGGAACACTATCATGATACTGGCACAGCATCATATCTTGGTGCGCGACCTTCCTGATTAATTAGTATTTATATGTAAATGTCACAGAAATTGAACGTATTAGTTGCATGTTTGAGTGTGTGTGTGTGTGTGTGAGTGAGTGAGAGAGACAGAGTGGAAGAGAAAGACTTGCTGACATTCAAATAAAAAGTCTTGCCCTTTAAAAAGAAACTCTTCTCCATTCAATCTGCATTCATTTTACCCAGATGAACCAGCTGAGGCTTTCATTGTGCTTATAAATGTATTTGTAAGTGTGCTTATAACATACAGTGTTCCTCAGTTTAAGTATGACAGCCTCTGTACCCTGAAATGCATAAAACGATGGATATGCCAGTTTTACTTTACTCCTTAAAGACATTTGTTTGGAAGTCTCAAGGCTATTCATTTGGACAATTTCCTTGTTACACTGTTGAAAACTTTTATTTGCCAGTTGGCCACCAACAGGTCAGCCACATCATCTCTCAAGGAATACATTTTGCCCGTAGACTCCAGGAGTCTCCCCCTTTTGGCTATTAGTTAAAACGCAGGTTTAACAGCGTATGGGGCTAGAGGTGGGGCACACCCTGGACAGGTCCTTGTATCGCCATCTTTTACATACAGTATAGTTAAAAAAGCCAACCTTTTCAATTCTGTTAAGTACAAGAATATTTACCATCTTCAACAGAATCAATGCCAAAACAGTTAATCAACATTAATTCTGTCAAACCCCTGACAAACTAACAAAAATTCCCTACCATCTTCTGTTTCACTGATAATTTCTGAGTAGCCCTTGCCTGTGCTCTCACTCACTATCCGTCAATTTCTTTTCTTTTCATTAACAGAAAAATGTATGTTTGCCAGGGGGATGTGTTGCTATAAAGGGTATACGGTATTATTTCTGCTCAGCTGCCTCTTTTTGAGATGCTACAGTGCTCTATTCAGCATGAGCACCATTGATGGACAGCCTCAGAGAAACTCCCATTGACACGAAACAAAAAATACATATAAATAGATCACATAAAAGACGGATTGTCAGCTCACTGATCACTTTGAATAAACACCCCATTAAGATAAGCTACCTGTATTCTGCTTGAGATAAGTGATGTTCTTACTCATACTTAATGAGGAAAAACAAAGTTTCTTACTTATGATACAGAAAACATCTGTGCATCTATACCACTGTAATAATCATGTCATACAGTGCTGTAGTGATACATGGCCAAATACAGACAAGGCTGCATAGTGTTTGCACAATGTACAAAGATTTGAAGTAGAAACAGAATCCATTTGAAATAAAATGATGTGCAACATATTTTTTTACCTAAAAAATGTACAAATAAAAACTGGAAAAGCGTTGAAATATTGAACATATGTGGTACTACTGCAAAATTACTCTAGATATATATAGAAATATTTTTTAATGTGGCACATATGTGCAATCATAAATACTGATACTGAGCACACAACTTTAATTTACCGCATGCTCCCGGGGGCTGTGTGAAAAAACGTGGCGAGAGGAGGTGGTGAAGGATAGGTTTTGGTGACTAACATAGCAACAGTGCTGCATGACCACCGGTGCTTTGTGACAGCTGGGGCGTTCGGAAGTGACAGCCTGTTTCTGGACCTCTATTGGCTGACAAAGTCATCAATCTTGAGAGCAGCTCCGCCCATTGTCCCCTGCGCGGCACGGGAAAAAGCCTTTGAAGTCAGGAAGGCGGTGCCAAGCAAATGCTGCCATGTGGTGCTGCAAAACCGCGTTCTTATTGGACAAGACGAGACCGTCAACGCCCATTTATGAAGGATACCCTCTCTGATTGGACAAATTGACCACCCCAGATTCAACGTATGCGTGGTCTCTGTTTTCCTATTCTCTGTTCCGGCTTACGTCACCAGCGTGAACTTCTTTCCATGACGGCGGAGTAATCCATGGTACCCTTTACGGAAAAGGCGTAGCGAACATGCGCAACGACAAAGACTGAGAGCCTGAAACCTATGGGGAAGGAATAAAAAAAGACGTTCAGTACCGTCGCACTCTGTACCGTAAGACCAATATTTCTGAGCAGCTCGCTGCTCCGGGACTTTAGTTGAGACGCCGAAATTTGACAACGGTTAGGCTAAATTCGGTGTCACCGTAAAGCAGCGAATTCGTAGAAGAAGACGGTGGCAACTGGCAGATTTTCCGTTGGACCGTCTGTAGGCTAGGGTATATCGAGGGAGCCGCCATGGCAGTCGGATCATTGAGCCTCCACATCGGGATATGAAGAGGAACTGCATGTGTCCCAAATCGACAAGAAAACGCCACATTTACCTTTGATCCTCCCTGGATCGACGTCTGAACTAACACGTCCTCATCTTCGTGGAATTCGTCCAAAAAAAAGAATTCGCAATTGGTTTTAAAACGAGGGGGCCACAGGGAGAGGCCAGATTCATGACTATTTTAGTCGGAGACGTGTCTTCTGAGGCCCGTTGAAAGAAAACCTGGAATATAAAGAGGAAACAATGCTCTGATTGACCGTCGATGGGAAAGCAAGGCTAGTTTATTAGGTGTTATAAAGTAGTGTGAACCGATAGTGGGACAAAAAGGGTCTATTTTTGCCTTCCCCTTCCAGTTAATCATAGTAATATTCCTTTACTGTCATCCTTTTTGGATGAGAAAGTCAGGCGAGTCGACCAGCCCTGTCGTTTAAAAAGTAACTGTCTCCGTAACGAGAGAATCAAAGGAATTGGATCATGTCGGGCCGGCCCAGGACCACATCCTTCGCAGAGAGCTGCAAACCAGTGCCGCAGCCCTCTGCTTTCGGCAGCATGAAAGTCAGCAGTAAGTACACCTCTGTAATTCTAGAGTATCTTTTTTTTTTTCCTCTCTCCCCCTCCACCCCACCACCCCCCACTGCGTGAACCAGCACCCGCTATCGGGCCAGCTTTTTTACTCGGTGAACGCCTTCTCAGGGACCTGCCTTTAGAGAGAATGTGTCAAGCTAGCAGAACGTTAGCTCCGGATAGCTCGGCCCTGTCAGATGGTTCTGTCGCGGGCGGAGATTGGAGGGTGCTGAGCGGCACGCGCCCCCCAGCCGTCCCCGGTGTGAGCACACACTGCCCGGGGACAGGTCTGGGGCCGGGCCGGGGACAGGTCTGGGGCTGGGGCTAGGTCTTGGGCCGGGCCGGGGCCCGGGCGCGGGGGGGGGGGGGGGGGGGGGGGTAAGGTGGTAAGGTGGTGTTGGCACCGTCCCAGCTCTAGAGCCGGGCCCTCTCCTGTTACCGCAGACCCGGTCTGATTATCGACACTTAAAAACGTAGATCAGATCTCGCGGAGGCTCCGGCCATAGGCGGAATAGCGTTAAAGCGGTGGGGCCGGTCTGTTACGCAAGAGTGCGTCCACGGGTGGACTCGGGGCAAGACTGACGCGGCCCTCCCTCCGTAGAAAACGGATTGACCGGTGCCTCCGCTACGGGCCGCGGACGAAGTGAGACGTCTCGACGAGCGGAGCGGCGTAATGTCCCGATCCTGCTCGTGAGAAACGGAGCCACGCGACTGGCTCGGCCCCATCAGCTGAGCAGCTCCCTCACATCTGCTGGAGTTAATACTGCATGCCTGCTACCGTATCCCATGACAACAGAACTGACCCACTGCATGCTCTTTAGCTCAGTCTTCCTTTTAGGAACTGGGTTAATATGTGTGTGTGTAATGAAATCTGTTCCTGACTGGATTTGGTTTTTAACATTGTTAATGTCCATAGACATGGTGGGTGGAGGCAGAATTTCTGTGCGTGTGAACTGTAAAGCAGGCCTGTCCAGAGAGGTGGACCGTGCTTTATGGCCGCGCTGTGGTCAGGATGTGTGTCGGTAGGGTGAGGCCCTCGGCTGAGGCTCCCCTCCAGGCCTTGGCAGAAACCCCTGGACTGTGACACACTGGCAAAGAGCGAGATGCGGCCCCGTCCCAGGCCTAATACCGGTCCTACCTATGATACATGCATGGGCGTTGAAACATTCCTCCTTACGTGTTGAAAAAAATGGAAACTGGGAGGGAATGCCTGTCAGATGAATGCAGGTGGATTCCTTCTTTTGTCTAATTGTTCATCAAATACAGGATATGTTACTATTCTGATGTTACTGATGAATGTACACTACTAGTTAGATTCTATTTGTCAAAGAAAACCAAGACAAATCCCAGTTGGCGCTTTGAGTTTATGAAGAGCAGGCTGAGAAAGAACTAAACCAACCAAAAGGTTCATTATGATTTATGGAAAACCTGTGGAACCTTTAGGTTGCTTCTTTGTTGCCCTTGTTGTTCTGCAGATGAGATATTATTTTGTTTGTTTTATTACTTCTAAACCTACAGGAGCGTAGTGTAGTGTTTGGACTAAATTTGTCTCCCCTAGCGTGTTGGCGGGAGGCTGATGCTATTCTTCATACTTTAAGAAAATCACCCAGCTTTTAAAGATTTATCTCAGCTCAGATGCATTTTGCAACAAGTGTTTTTATTACAAGTTAATATGCAGAAAATCAAAGATGATTTGATTTATTAAATACTTAAAAATGTATCTGTCTTGTCACTCATCCAATTGAGTTCATTCCCAGCGCTCCAAGGGAAGTCAGATGTCTTCTTTATTGTGAAATGCTTCTATTTAAAGGTAAAATGAATTAAGAGGGAGCTCTTGAAGTACAGCACACACAAAATAAAGTTTCCATGGCAAATATGGTGGACACACACACACGCGCTCCACTGAAGTGACTACAGAAAGCTGTTTCCTGATGTAATAAACAGAGTTTAAGATGCAATGATGCCAGCGGGAAGCCAAAACAGGCCTCAGCTACATCTCTACAGACGATTTCACCGTTTTCTCCAGGGCTGCGGCAGTGAAACGACCACCACACATTCTGGAGGTGGCTGCAAGCGCCAGCACCGCTTTTGCAGCACATATTCCACAGGTTTAGAGGCATAACCATCTGGACAAGTGACCCCTGTATGGAGTCTGGGAAACGACAGAATAAGACCCCGCTTGATGGCTCCATTTCCTTCCCGTTCCATTCGCTCCTCAGCAGCAGAGTTACACTTCAGAACTGGAGGTTTCTGTCTCAACAGACATAGTTACAGATGGGTTTGGATCCCGTGCTGTAAACACCAGGTTCCACTCCAGAGTATTTCCTGCTGCTATGAAGGGAGTGTTTTTAGAGCAAACTGGACCAAAGTGAATTACCAGTTTTTTTGGATATATATTCTATCAAATAATTGGGCATACATTACCAAACAACAGAGTAAAAAACGTCCAGTATGAATGTTTTTTTTTAAATCAATATGAGATGCAGAATATTAGATTAGAGTACTTTATTGATCGCACAGTGGGGAAATTTATAATTGACATACTCTATAAGTCGGCTGCATCATGACTGAACTTCATAAAAACACGTCCCCTGGCCTCTACCGTCCCATCACACACACACACACACACACACACACACACATTCTTCTGTTGGTGTGTGTGAACTACTTGGCTTGATGATCCTGAGCAGCTGTAGCAGCCAGTGCAGGCCATCACGGGGAGAAGGCTTTTCCCCCTCCAGCGCGGGCAGATGG